TCATGCCATTTTGGGGGTCTCTGGGGTTGGGGTGTCCCTGGGTCAGTAGAGCAAGCTGCTGTGCCGGGGTCTCTGTCACCGGCCCTGGTTTTATGGGCTCCTGGCATGAAGCTCTAGCTCTGTCATGGTAGAGGCTTTGGCTCTTGTGGGGCGGTTCTTGTTATGATGGGGGCCAACGGCACCTGGGTGCTTGTGTTAGAAGGACCCTTACCCATGACGAGCTCCCATGCCTCATGGGGTTCCTGTGTCACTCTGAGGCTTTCTCATTGGAAATCCTTAGGATACAGGTGAGAGGGGCTTGTCATCTTCAGGGGGTCTTTAACAGTTGTGGTTGTCTGTGTACAGTTCACATTTCTTCCACGGATGATGCCTGTTTGGGGGAGACAAGCCACTCACATCATAGGGCTCTCTGTTGTTATTGGGCTCCTACCTTAGGCACTCTGTGAGGTGGAAGTAGTTGTGAAGATAAGCCCTCCTGGTACATCATGTGGCTTACTCCACTGGCTGCCTCCTGATGACCCTGAGCTCTTGGCAGTGACTCTTGGGTGGATGTCAGTTACCATGGTTGGGGGAAGTGGTCACTGTGGACAGGAGCAGGATTGTGGCCCCTGCTTCTGCCTCTGTCCTCTTCAAGTGTGTTCATCTGTGTCTGTCTGTCTCCCACATGTCCATCCTTTACTGAGGCCATCTGTTCTATCCTGTCTTCTGTGTGGCTCACAGAATCTTCCCAGGGAAAATGCTAGGAGGATATGGGCTTGAAAGAGAGCAAGGGTTAGGGTCGTGGGCACACCTGAGCCTCAGGTGGCAGGGAATTGGGTGCCCACAGCTCTGCTTTGCCCTGACAACCTGTCTGGCTTCTTTCCCTAGTGCTCAGCATTGGGGAGGGCGGTTTCTGGGAGGGAACCGTGAAGGGCCGTACTGGCTGGTTCCCAGCTGACTGTGTGGAGGAGGTGCAGATGCGACAGTATGATACACGGCATGGTAAGTAACCCCAGTTTCGCCCAGGTAGCTCTCAAAGGACCTATGCTTCTAGTCTCCTTTTGGTCTTCCTGGTATCAAATCTGGACCTTCACTGAGACTGTGGAGTAAACTCAATTACACTCAAGATGCATACAGATTTGTACATACACGGTGGGTAAACATACATGTCCCTAGGAACATGAATGTGTGAACCTGACATGTTCTAAACAGTGAAGAACCTTTGCCATGCCAACAGGAGGTATGCACTCATGGCCATCCTCTGTCTGCATGTGGGTTTATGAGTTTCCTGAGATGGTGACCACCCTTCTGGTACAGTCTTCCCAGAAATACCAGGTTCCTGGGGCTCCCAGTTCATGACTGACTGGTAGATAAATAAGGAGGTCAACGTGAGAAAAGAGGCGTTTTTCCAAAGTCGACAGATTGTCCAAGTGGGCAGAGCAGGAGGCATGGACCAGCTAAGAGGAAATGAGGCCAGTTGGGCTCCAACGAGTGGTTCGGGATATCCTGGGGTTGATATGGTCTCGGTGCAGCTAGCTGATGAAGGATGGCCCCTGTTCTTACAGAGATGAGGGCTGCAGCTCTTGGGGCTGCTGAGCAACTGTGGTCCGATCTTGCTGAACGCTCCCATATCTAGGAAGGATGGTCCCTTTAGGTGCTGGTGAAAACAGTGGCTGGTCCTCTGGAGCCCCCATGTGGGCTAGTTACATGTCTGGGGTATCCCCCTTCATTGCGCCCTCAGGGATCCTGGGAGGCCACAAGATAGATATTGTTTCCAGTCCAGAGAGTGAGTATGACAATTGAACTCCTCGTAAGTAGTGGTCCGGGGTGATTACAGGGGGTATATCTGAATCAGGGTACATGGGTCCCTTTCTCTGTACATAGAAAGTTTGGGCCTTGGGTTGTGGTAGCCCCTACCTTAAGTTTGCAGTGTAGCCAGGAACCTTGGCTCTGTGCCAAACTTGATGGATGCCTAGGCTATACGGGAGCTCAGTTACTGACCTACTGCTGGCTAGGTGCCTTGCTTTCTTTTTCTTTTTTTTCCGGGGGTGGGGGAGTTGAGACAGGGTTTCTCTGTGGCTTTGGAGGCTGTCCTGGAACTAGCTCTTGTAGACCAGGCTGGGATTACAGAGTCTCTGCCTCCCGAGTGCTGGGATTAAAGGTGTGTGCTACTACTGCCTGGCTTGTGCCTTGCTTTCTTACGTGGCCTATCCCTGCCCTGCCTTGATGGCTTTATTAGTGACCGGGAATATGCGGCTTGTGCCTTGCTTTCTTAGTTGGCCTATCCCTGCCCTGCCTTGATGGCTTTATTAGTGACCGGGAATATGGCCCTTATTCATGTCACTTATTCATGGCCTGTGGAGAGTAGACAGAGTGGGATCTGGGTGAAACTGATTTCAGAGATTTGGGCCCTAGTTCCAGTAGGACGGAGTAAAACATAGGGATAGGGGCTGCACACCTGTTGGATAGGAGCTAGTCTTGTGCCTTCCCATAAGGGTGGGGATAAGCTTCTAAGAACTGTGGCTCCAGGAATATTTGTTTTAAAGCTCAGGAAGTGAGAGTTGGAGTCAGACTCCGAGATGGGCAGATGTTTGTCAGTTTCTCTCCAAGCTGAACCTGGCTCTCAGTGGCTATGGCAAGTGTCTCCGTCGTGCCCCCCCCCCCCCCAGGTGCATAGACTGTTGAGATTGGGAGATCCAGAGTTGTCCTGAGGAAGCCAAAGAGGGTTTCAAAACAGAGGTGTTGTTTGGGCTGAATTCTCTGGGTGGTTTGCAGATGGGTCCCCCATGTTTCTAGGGATCCAACTCAGTTCTTTAGAACTATGCCTGTTGCCAACTTCTGTATTTGAGCAGTGCCAGACATGATTTTAGCATTTTTTACCTGAATGAAGTTGTGGGCATGATCCTAGTAGCCCTGGGAGGTGGGGCCAGTGGTTAGTATGTTTACGGGATGTCATCCACCGCAAGGGACAGGGTGTCATTCAGCAAAAATTAATTGCTTTTAATTTTGCTACACAAGCAGGTAGCTTTGTGAGGAATGACATAGCTGGAGCGGGAAGCATGAGTCTAGTCACCTGTCATTGGGGTCAAGGTAAAGAATAATCTTTCGGTAGGAGCTGACTGAGCAGATATTTTAGGGTCAAGATTAAGATCTGGGCAGGGCAGAGCGGTGAGTAGGGTGTGTCAGAGTCACAGAGAAAGGATGACAAGGGGAGACATGGGGTAGGGGCTTTCTAGCAAGCATAGGACTCCTTAGCAGGACCACAGCTATCATAGATGAGTGGGATTTAAAAGTACCTAGGTGGATGGAAGCTACATTTGTGGGCCTTGCTAAGGCTGCCTTTTGGGAGTGGGTAGGAGCAGTCATGGGCTCCCTCTGATCTCAGCTCCAATGCCTGACTTGCTGGTATGGGAAGAACTTCTTGTCTGGGATTTAGGCTGAGTTGTGCCAGAGAGCAGAGGGCATCCTAGCAACAGGAACTTGTTTCCAGAAGCCCCCTCCAACTTTAATTCAGGAACCAGAGTGGGAGTGAAGGAGGACTTTTAAAGGACAGGTGCTGAGGTACACAGGTTAGGGCAGCATCTAGTAGGACACAGGTCCTGGGTGTTAACTGAGCAGAGAAGATAGCCTCTGCAGTGCTTTCACATTGAGGCACGCTGAGGGCAGGAATTGCCGAGGCCAGTGAAGTGTAATCTCCAGGCCCAGTATACCTTCCCATGCTGCCTACCTTCTCCTTTCCAGAGTGTTCCACTTGGGAGTTGGTGCTGGGCATATTCCTTTCAGCTGGTTTTCCCGTGTGTGATTAATAAAGCCAGAACATGAATCTGTGTTACATAATAAATAGTTTGTTTGGTTGATGAAAATGTACAAAACAAGAGGCTTTGCAATAGGAGCTGACCAGGATAGGGCTGCTTCACTGTGCAGATCTTTTAGGATCAGGGCTAAGATCTGGGTAGGGTGGAGCAGAGAGGTGGGTAGGGTTAGCCAAGGTCACAGAGAAGGATGCAGGTCGAAGAGTAGCTGGTGTGAGGGTGGTGGAACTGAAGGCTTCCTGTCAACTGTAGGCCTCCTAGACATGGTTCAGCTAGCACAGGGTATGTGTGACTGGGTCAGCTTGAAGAAGGATATGCTGGAGGTGAGGAGGAATTGGGGCCCTACTTGCGTGAGGGTGAGGCATCACCTGAACTGGTCTAGGGAACAGGGTTGATAAGTGTAGGTTTGTCATGTAGAGTAGGACAAATGGGAGTAAGTAAGCAAACTGATGTAAGTAAGCTAGAATGTGACAGGTTTAGAACCGGGGTCTTCCAAGGTGGCTTTTCCTACTGTGTAAAGAGAGGGTCAGATGTAACTGCTCACGAGAGGCTCACACATACTGCCAGGGGCCTGAAATCTGAATGATAGCCATGCCATCTCATGTGAAGATCATCCAACCACTGCTCTATTCCTGTCTGTGTCCTCCTGTCTTCTAGCTCATCTGCTCATTAATCTATTACCTATTTATCCACCAACCTACCCAGCCCACCCAGTTCCCCCTTTTCTCCACCCATATACCCATCCACCCATCTACCCACCCACCCATCCATCCATTCATCCATCCACCCACCTATCCATCCATCCATCCATCCATCCATCCATCCATCCATCCATCCATCCATCCATGCCCAAAGCAATATTGCAACACACTCTAGCACAGATCCTGTGCCAGACTCTGGATCAACGATATGGATAACAGCCTTTGAATGGCTCTTAAGGTAGGCATCTGGTGTGTTACTTAATGCCTTCACACTTCCCATTTACAAATCAGGAAGTGAGGTCTGGGCAGGTTAGGTTAGACATCTGACATTTTACCCCAGGAAGCCGTCCATGGTTGGTAGTTTGGTTCCAGAGCCTAAGTCTCATCAATGTTAATGTTCTTGCCTTTGAAAACCCACAGTTTGTTGGGAGAGGAACAAATGAGAAACAGTGAGCTCCAGTCTGGCAAATCTGCACCTATAGACCTAGAGCTGGGAGGACCTGGGTAGGTAGATGTCTGCAAAGAAGAGCATTGTGCTGGATTGCAGCTTAGTCACAGTCCAGGAATCACTTCTTGCTTCTCTTATTTTCCTACTTCTCTGCTATTAGTGGTACCATGCTACTGGAATTAGTTTAGCAATTCAAACTTTGATTGTTGGTGATATTTGGGTTGGTAAGATGTGGAGATGTCTCTCATTGTCTTCTTGGTTCCCTCTTTCAGCATTGCTTAGTCTTTGGGTTGACTGTGTGGGTTCATCCAGACTGGAGATCTTAAGACCCAGCTTGGTCTGAAAGAAGTGTATATACTTAGATGTGCTCGAGGTATAGAAAGTGGATAGAGTGATCTCATTTCCTTCCTTCCTTCCTTCCTTCCTTCCTTCCTTCCTTCCTTCTTTTTGAGACAGGATTCCTCTGTAGCTTTGGAGCCTGTCCCAGAACTCCCTCTGGAGACCAGGCTGGCCTCAAACTCACAGAGATCCTCCTGCCTCTGCCTCCCGAGTGCTGGGATTAAAGGTGGGCGCCACCACCTGGCTCTGATTTCACTTTCTGTCAGTGTACCTCCCTCTGTTCCTGCTGCATCGACTCTACTCTGTTCCTGCCTGTTCCAAATTAATGCCATTTGCATGGCCTTTCCTTGACTGCCTCACCCTCAGAAGCCCTGTACCCTCATATCTACAGTCTGTCTGGACCTCTGCTCAGCTCTTCTTTCGGATGAGGCCTTTGCTGTCCCTAGAACTGTACTTATACATCCCTTTCCTGCTTGCTTTTCTCCTGTTAGCTAGCATTTTATATTTGTTGCGTGTTCATTTCTTAGAGTAGCTTATTAACTCCTCAGAGGCAGAGACTTTGCTCTATTTAAAAATAAACAGTGCCTGGCATGCAGTAGAAGCTTAGTGAATGGTTGTTGAAGTAAAAAATTGAGTCTTGAGAAGTGCTATATAGCAAGAGAGAGTGAAGGAGGGAGGTGCTGAAGGATGAAATTGAAAACAGTGGTAGTGCCATCTTGAGGCCTTCTGAGGCATTGCAAGTGGAGCCACAGGAGGAGCCATTCCGAACCTTAAGGTCTTGTAGATTGAGCCTTCAGGACGTCTGCAAGGCTAAGTGAGGTATGTCCAGCAGGAGGTATGTCCTGACCAGCTCCATAGTGGCCATGAAGAACTTTGAGATCAAAAGACATATTAATCTATTCCATGGAATTTATTAATATAGTCCTATGGGATACAGTGATATTGACATAGTTATTAATTATTATATCAATGTAGTTCCATGGAATACAGTGAAGTCAGGGTAGGGGACAGACCTTTTTTGTAATCCTTTTCCTTATCCCTTGAATTTACGTACTTGCTGTTGTGAGGAAACTAGTGGGCACACTGGGATGCTTCCACACCGGTGCACATACACTGACAGACACAGGCATGTGCATGAGCCCAAGACTTGTATACACTGTGGGTTACACAGATGTATGTTTGTTACTGATGACTGGAGTCATGTACAGATAACAGATAAGGCTCCCACTTTCACAGTGTGGCTGGGTCACAGACACACATAGCACCAACACAGCATTGATGTTTTACTGTGAGGTACACATACATGTCCTCTCAGTTCTAAGACTTGCTGACTGGACCGGTTTGGTCTTGTTTGCTTTTCTGTGTCTGGCTGGGTGTTAGTAAGGGGTGGAGTGGGGGGGGGACTGCTTTCCTCTTGGGCTCTGACTCCCAGAGGCCAGAATTCCCTGTATGGTTATCTGAGCCTTCCTACCTTAGGACATTACGGCCTCAAGCCCCAGGATTTGCCCCTCCCCCTCCCCACTTACACCTCTACTTCAGAGCGTGTGGGGACACAGACTGATCGGTGCAGTTTGGGGAACTTCAGCTAGGTGCAGGCCATGACCATTTCTTGGCCCTTGATGCTCCCTCCAGAAACCCGAGAGGACCGGACGAAGCGCCTCTTCCGTCACTACACTGTGGGTTCCTACGACAGCCTCACTTCACACAGGTATTGGCAGGGTGTAGACACACTGGGATACTAGCTGGGACTAGTATAGCTCATGAAAGGAGAAGACAAGGTATGGGAAGGTGGGAGGGTGGGCAGGGAGTGGGTGGTTCGCTGCCTCTGTTTTTGTTGTTCTGAGTTGACTTGTGAGTATGGGATCCTGTAGGGTCAGCCTGTTTGCTAGGCTCCCTGCAAGCTCCCCTCACTCAACCTTGCTTTCCTCTGTCAGTGATTATGTCATTGATGACAAGGTGGCTATCCTGCAAAAACGGGACCATGAGGGTTTTGGCTTCGTTCTCAGGGGAGCCAAAGGTAAGGGGCGTGGATTTCACAAGGGGGATACTGCATTGCTGATGATGTCTTCTGTGCTCTGCCTCTGACCCTTCCTACTACCCTTTAACCCCAGCTCCCCCTGTCACGGTTGTATGTCTTGGTTTGGAATGTCCCAGGGCAAGGCAGCAGGCCCCTCTCTTTCTTGCCTCTCATTCCCTTGTGGGGAGTCTAACACAGTAGAGATCCATTTGGTGAGGGTAAATGGAGGGCTTCACAGAGGAATGTACACTGGTTTGGGTAGCCCCATCTGCTGGCCACTCCAGGTTTCTATGCCTTAGTCAGGTGCCTTGAGCCAGCTGAGATTGCCTTGTTGAGCTTTCAAACACAAGCTATGCTTGTGAGTGAGTGCCTTATATCTTGCTCTCCCTGCAGCAGAGACCCCCATTGAGGAGTTTACACCCACACCGGCCTTCCCTGCACTCCAATACCTTGAGTCTGTAGATGTGGAAGGTGTGGCCTGGAGGGCTGGGCTTCGAACTGGGGACTTCCTCATAGAGGTGAGGCCCATTCTGTCCCTGCCCAGAAGGAGGGGAGGGGGTTACTAATTCCTGAGCTCTGAGGAGGGTGACACTTGGACACATTCCCTCGCTGCTTATCTATCCCAGGTGAATGGAGTGAACGTGGTGAAGGTTGGACACAAGCAAGTAGTGGGTCTCATCCGTCAGGGTGGCAACCGCCTGGTCATGAAAGTCGTATCTGTGACCAGGAAACCGGAAGAGGATGGTGCTCGGCGCAGAGGTGAGAGTCTATGCTGCTGTCTTCTGGGTTCTACCCTGGTACTTGGCCCTAGCCTGTTTACTTCAGGCCCATTCCTCTCCCCATCTCTGATCTTCTGGCATCACATTCCTGCCTGAGATGAGATAAAATGCCCTTATTGTCACACAGGTCCTTGGTGTTAGATGCCTGACCCCCTGGCCAGGCCTCTGACCCCTGATCCTAGGTTCCCCCTCCTCAGATCCCTGTCCCCTTCTTCTATGAATCCCCCAGCCCTGGTGTGGCAGAGCCCTCCTTCCCGACGCCAGCAGCTGCCTGGAGGCTGGGTTGTCATGGCAACTGTGAGGTTGACGCTGCTGCTTATTGTGCAGGGAAGGGGGAGGCGGCACCTGAGGGAAGAGGAAAAGCGTCTTCTCCCCGCGCCGACGCCAAAGACGCGGCGGCGGCACAGCCTGGGCCTAAGAGGCTTTGCCGCTGGCCCAGCCCAGGTGTGCGGCTTGCCAGGCCACCCTGTGGTCTCATAAAGAGCAGTGGTACCTGGGCCTGGTGTGCTTTAGGCAGCAGGAGGTAGTCTGGCAGGAGATCCACCCAGCCCCCCATGGGTGGTGCCCACTCACTGGGGCCTTGGAGCCCGAAGGGTGGATGCTCAGATCAGAGCCAGCCAGCCTCCTAACCTCTGCTGGTACTCTTACTACCATTGGAGGCCTTGGCCCTGGGAGTCTCAAGGGCCCTAGGGGCCCAGCTGCCCTGGCTCCACTGCTCCCTGAGCTCCTCACGCCATGAAGAAGTTTGCATCTAGCCGCAGCCTGAACAAGATCTTGGCACAGTGTGACTCGTCTTCAAGGGAGTACGAGGAAATCCAGGCAGTGGAGCGCAAGTGGCACTTGCACCTGGCCACACCGCGCCGCCTGCTGCTAGACAGGAGGGCCAAGGCCTCCCTCTTCTTTGCAGCCCCACCACCCCCAAAGAGGGCCCCCAGCACCACGCTGACCCTGCGCTCCAAGTCCATGACGGCTGAGCTTGAGGAACTCGGTGAGCATTGTGGGTGGACAGTGGGCGGGTGGTGTACAACCGGCTGGCCAAAGTGGGATGGACCCAGGTCGTTTGGGAGGGCAGTGGTGTCGAACTGGGGCTAAGGCCAGGTAGAGACAGAAGGAAGAACAGATGGTTGTGGAGACAGATCGGCAGTTAGGGTATGGACTGGATGTGTGGGGAAGGAAATTGGGTGCCTGTTTGGTGAGGAATGAGATAGTGAAGAGTAAAGTGATGAGGGCTCTGGGCAGAGCGAGTTGCTGGGGTCGGGCAGGGACAACCAGGACAGATGGCTGGGGACGACGTCTGGCCCTGTAGCATGCCCGCATGCATGTACATGCATGTGCGTGAGTGCTTCCCCTGGTTCTGTGCTTTCCCACTAAGACTTTGCTCTTGCATTTCAACCTAGCTGGCAAAGAGCAGTGATAGGGTAACCTAGAGTCTGCTACTGGATCTGACTGGCATGAGCTGGGTCGTATTTGTGTTTCTTTCACTCAGTTGGTACCTGTTCACTTACCTGCCAAGTGAGTCTACTGACCCAACAGAGGCACCTCTAACACAGTGAGGGGATGGGGCCCTGTGAGCTGTGGGAGGTGAACAAAGTATATTAGGCTTTGACCGATACAGTTTCAGGTTGACTGCAAACAGCCTCATTGTGGGCATGTCCTGATATACGTGACCCCATCCAGACATAAAACAGTTACCAGCTTTATCATGGCCATGTTCCATATGCATAACACATCCTTATATGCATGTGCACATGTATGGCAGTTTCCAGCCTTGTTATAGGCAGGTCTCATGTACATGACTACAATGTTCTGTCATGAATAAAAGTAACCAGACTCACCCTGGACATGTCCCGTGTACATGACCACCATATCTTGACAAGTATAGCAGTTACCAGCCTTGTCATGGGCATGTCTCATATGCGTGACTGTATCTTGACACATATCCCAGTTAACCTTGTCATGGACATGTCTCATATTCACAGCCATGTCCTGACATGTGACATTTACCAGCCTCGTCATAGGTATGTCCTATATGCATGATCACATCTTGACACATAGGACTGTTATCAGTCTCATCAAAGGCATGTGCTGATGTATGTGATTTTATTGTCATTGTTGGCATGTGCTAATATATTTGACTGTTAAGAGTCTTACTGGGCGTGGTTATTGGTTAACAGTTTCATGGTAGGTATATTCTAACACATGTGACAGATTGAAACACTCTTTGCTTCTGTGGTTTGAGCCCAGACTTTCCTCTGGCTTCAGTCATAAAAGGAAACCCTTATTGTGGCTCCCAGAACTGTCCCTGTCTTTGCTTATAGACTGAGTGCTGACCATGTTCCAGCCATAGGCTGAGCTTCCACCTTCCATGAAGGTGCCTTGACTGAAGTTTGGAAAACAGTTACTAAGATAGAAGCGACGGACACAATCAAGGTTTCCCATGATAAAACTGTGAATGAAATAAATTAAAAACTACAGATAGTGTAAAGGAGGAGGAATCTTCTTGTTTTAGAAATAAAATGGGAAATCAAAGCCAGGGATTGGAAACTGGTGCCTCCAACTCCTGATAGAGGTGCTCAACAAGGCTGGAAGTTGTACTGGGGACCTGTGAAAGCCAGAGACAACCACAGGCACTGTGGTTAGCATATGGTGAACTGGAGTAGCTGGAGAGATGGCTCAGCACTTAAGAGTGCTTGTTGTTCTTGCAGAGCACCCAGGCTTGGTTCCCAGCACCTACATAGTGGCTCATGACCATCTGTAACTCTGCTTCTAGAGAATCTAACCCATCTGACCCCTGGGTGATGGCAGTGGGGGCACAGGCATGAATGTGGTGTGCCTACCTATATCTATATACCTACATCTATATGTCTAATCTATATATCTATCTATATTATATTATATCTATAACTATATATAATCTATATATCTAAAAATAGATAAATCTAAAAACAGATAAGTGTATGAGAGTAAGGTAAAAGGCTAAAGTTACTATAAAGGCAAGGAAACTAACAGAATTAATGTAATTAATAGGATAAGAGGAACATGTTTGGGAATCCTTAACTTATTGAGACAAACAAAAAGCTACAAATGAGAAGAGTCTGTGGCTTGGATACACAGTATCCAGGGCTCAGTAAAAAACATAACAGTGAGTAAGAAGACCGGGCTGAGCCGACTCAGAACCAGCTTTGGAAGCAGATGAGATAGAACATCAAGGATCAGTCAGGGGACATGAGGGTATAAGGACACTCGAGGAGACCTCAACATCTACTTGATAGGGATTCCAGAGGAAAATAATAGACGGGCCAAGGAGCTCCCAAAAGTAAACAGAAATCTGAGACTCAGTTCCGAAGAAGCATGTCACAAATAAATACAATCTGTTAAGAGTAAAACTTTAGTGCTGGGTGGTGGTGGCTCACACCTTTAATCCCAGCACTTGGGAGGCAGAGGCAGGCAGATCTTTCTGAGTTTGAGACCAGCCTGGTCTACAAGAGTGAGTTCCAGGACAGACTCCAAAGCTACAGAGAAACCCTATCTTGAAAAAACAAACAAACAAAACCAAAACAAACAAACAAACAAAAAGAGTAAAACTTTAGAACACCATAGAAAAATCTTCCCAGAGCCAGCAGAGGGAGCCAGTTGGCTTTGGAATGAGTGCTGGTTTGCTTTCAGACGTTGATCAGTTATGCTAGAAGATAGAAGATGGTGAAAAGTGGGGTGGGGATACTTTCCCAACTAATCATACATCCTAGCCAAACTTGTTGACTAGAGTGAACAGAGGCACCGGCAAACATTTGGCTTTAGGGTTTACTCTAACCTGGGTTAGTCTTAGAGAGCAGACACCATGACATGGATCAGTACACCAGTATGAGTAGACAGTTGGATCTGTTTGGACATCAGTGTGTAGTCCTGGAGTCTCTTGCTAGAAGCTGTCCCATAACCAGGTCAGAAAGGCCCTACCTACTTTGCACAAAGAGGCGTTATTCATCCTGAACTTTGCACTCTAGGAACCGAGAGGCAGCCCTGTGAGAACAGGAGATCTCCATGTGGCTACGACCTTCGCCTGTAGAAATGGGGTGGAAGAGTGAGTCCTCCCCTCTGCTCCAGAAGCCTTGGGAGAGGGTCACTCCAGTTCCATTATAGACCTTGGTGGGCCAGAGGAGCAGGGCATCATATTCTGAGTAGAGTCTGGAAGGGGTGTGGGACTAGTTCAGCAGGAGCCTCTGCCTACACTTCAGGGCCCAGGATCGTGGTTTCTGAAACTGGAACCTGCTTCAAAATGGGGCTGTGTTTAGAGAAATACCCAACAGTCAGGGGCCCAGTGAGCTGCTCTAACTCAAAGACACCTATCTTAGGAGGTGATCTGGTCCTTCTGGGAATGCCTGATTTGAAGAAGCCAGACCAGCATAGAGTTCTCCAAGGACCCAAGAGAACATCACACAATCCAGTGTTTGTTCTTTTTGTTTGTTTGAGACAGGATATTCTGTAGCCCAGGGTGCTGTTGAATTGCCTATGCCTCCTGAGTTCTGGGATTTCAGGCATATACCACCGTGCCTGGATTTGCTTGTGTTTTTAAAAGGTAGAAATAAGACATGTTGACTCACCACTGTTATAAACATGTCTATTCTGCCATTTACTGATGGAACCCTCTAGGAGCCATGTTTGTCAGAAAAGATAACCTGAACTTCCTGGAAAGAAAAAAAAAACAGTGTGAGGTGAGGGGGATGTGGGCGCAGAGGTGGAGGCTTATGCTGGTGTAGAGGGTGAGGCAAGGCGATGCTGGAGGAAGAAGAGGGATGAGTTCCTGGGAACTAAAGGAGTGAGCAGAGGCTGATCCAAAATTAAATAAATTAATTAAATAAAGCGAAAGTGGTGGTGGCTGGCAGAAATCAGTGGGAGAACTCTTTGGTGTGGCACATACCTATCACTCAGGAGGTTGAGGCAGGAGGATTGCTGTGAATTCCAGGCCTGTGTGGGCTACAGAGTGAGTTCAAGGTCAACCCAACTTATGTAGCAGGATCCTATCTCAAAAAGAGAAGGGTTGTTCATAAGAGTCGAGGTGAGGAAGAAGCATAGGTAATCCCGTTCTCTACTCTCTACTCTCATTCTAGTCTGGGACTCCTTTAGCATATAATGGCCCTAGTGTGGTCATACTGTTCCTGTTCATTTATTTAGGCAAAATTAAAGACTTCTCTTAATTTCTGGATCTTTCTTTTGTGATGAGGTCAGGGTAGGTCCCCGCTACTGCCTTAGTCTAGAAAAGATGTCTTTAACCAAACATGTACTGTTTGCTTTGCTGCTTACATCTGCTTGCTGCTAGAAACCTGCTTTGGAATATGGAGGTGTATATCCATAGTGGAGTGTTTGCCTAGCATGTTCAAGGCCCTGGGTTCTATCTACAGTATTGCAAAAACAAAGCCCAACAGAAATCTCAGTAAAGAATGTTCATAGATGACCACTTAAGTTAATAGCAGACTCTGAACTTTGTTTTTTATAGTTGTATATCTTTATTCTTAACAAACATTTGGCTGCTCCATGTATAGTTTAATTGTGTACGTCTTCGTGTGTGCATGTGTGCATGTGTGTGAGTGTGCATGTACACAGAGCGTGTATTCCTGCTTTTAGTTGTTCTCTTCTAGAGTTTTTAGAACATTGGTAGGTTTGTGCTCCTGGGCTAAGAAGGCGGTATAGATGGGGACAGACCTATGAAGGCCTGATCATTGGGAGGAAGGGTTGGGGAGAACAGGGTGGGAAAACCATTGGGCAAATGGTCCAGGTGCCATGGAATAAAGCCTTCCCCTTATTCCCTTTGTTCTGTTTCTCAATTCCAAGCTTCCATTCGGAGAAGAAAAGGGGGTAAGTCTTCTGCTATATTTTTAGACCTGACTTGCCTGTCCCTACCAAGGGGGCACTGGTGTGTGATGAGGCTCCAGTCCAAGTTAGAGTGGTCTGGAACCTGGCACACTCTCTTGTTACTGCCTGGGGATTTGGTAGGGACATGGTGAAGGACCTTGGAAGGATGGAAGAGGAGTTCCCAGGGGCATCACTGGGATTAATAGGGAGTACAACTATAGTCCCTGTGGGTTCAGGTGAGCTCGGGGATGTGACCTGTGGAGATAGTCTGGTGGGGAGAAGTGTCCATATGGGGCCAGAGACCCCAGGGCTGAGGCTGCGTACTGAGGTCCAGCATCTGGGGAAGTCTTCCCTGGCTTCTGCTGCTTCCTTTGCCTCTTGAGTGGATGGGAGTCAGGCTCAGATATGCTCATAGCCCAGGGTGTGTGGATTTGTGTATCTAGCATCCCTTCCCCTCTTACTTTGCCCCAGCAGGGGGATTCTTTAGCGTTCACCATATGATACTAGATTTTTCCCACCTCCATTCTCCTCTTACTGAGATCTGCATTCTAGCTCCGTGATAGTAGGACTCCCAGAATACTAGGCTGTGGTCATGCACTTCTTCCAGCTGTGGGGGAAATGGCTGATTTGTTTCTTCCATGGGCCCTTTTCTTCTTCCCTGCTTGGGTTCCTAACATACTTACTTTGCCCCGAACCCAGATGACTACTCCCTTGGAAGGCTGGTGGAGATGACTATGCTTGGTTCCTGAAGAATTTTATTTAATTTTTTAAATATCTAAAATAATTTAGGATTAGGTTTTCTAATTTTGTTGTGGATCTATGTTGGGAAAAAGTAGTCAACTTTTCATATGTAGAATTCTTGAATTCTTCCTCTTGGAAACAATTCTCGCTTGGCCTCAGTACTAATCTAATGCAACATAACCCCAGACAATTGCTTTGCTAAACAGTGTGTACACTGCTGGGATGTCTTGGAACAGGTTCTGTGTTTTTGTTTTTTGTTTTTTTTCTTAAAAGACACACATTCTCTAAGTGCATGGCTCAGGTGCCTTGGTAAGAAACATGTCACTATGGTGTCATGAACTTCTTTCTCCCCTTATATCTTTTTTTTTTTAAAGATTTATTTATTTATTTATTTATTATGTATACAGTGTTCTGGCTGCATGTATCCCTGCAGGCCAGAAGAGGGAACCGGATCTCATTACAGATGATTGTGAGTCATTATGTGGTTGCTAGGAATTGAACTCAGGACCTCTGGAAGAGCAGCCTCTTAACCACTGAGCCATCTCTCCAGCCCTTCCCTTATGTCTTTACTTGTGCAGTTTCTGGATGGTGTGGCAGCAAGGAGCTGTGGTCAGGGGTAGTACACTTTGTGTATCATTTTGCTCCTGGGAAACAGGAGGACAATGATAGGAACTTGAGGTGGTTACTATGGCAGTCATGTAAAGCTTGGCAAATACTGTGTATCACCAAGGGCTTGGCCAGGGTAGTGATTCCAACTTTCAAAAGGAAGCTACACATGTCATTACAAAGACAAATGAGAACTTTTGTATCTGTAATCTCTCTCTGTACTGTTATCTGGTGGTACTGGAAGCCATGCTTGGGCTCTACAAATTTCTCTACAGTGGGAACATGTTTGCTGGCAAAGTACTGTGTTGTTCAGGGCTTCAAAAGGGCAGAGTATTTTCTTTATAAGGAACCCACAAATTGTTGATGAAGATAGGTAATGTCTTGGCTGTGTCTTCAGCAACTGTATTGGCCAGTGTGGTCTGCATTGGCTAGAGTGGTTGTAAGCTCCTTTGTGCTAATTTCCCCTAGAGCTATACCACATAGATACCATTTCTGTTGTATTAGGTGAAGACACTGGGTCTCAGAGGGCATACATCTAAACAGAGTCAATGTGCAAGGTGGCTATCTCAACACGCTACTTAATAAGATTGCCTCCTGCATTAATTTACCCTATGTAGCAATTGTTATGTTAGAAACAGTGGGTGCTGGTGACTGTCTGGGGTTTGGATTTGGAAGGAATAGGAGATATTCAGACTGACTGCAGGAGTTCTTCAGCAATGGTATTTTGATAGTAGAAGGGTGTCCAGGACAAGTATCCCCTGAAGGTGGGCACAACCTTCAAGAGTTGAATATGGTCTGGAGACAGTTGGAGCCTGAGGCTGCTGTTGAGTGAAGATAGGGACATAAAAGCACTCCCCTAACCTCTAGTGTACACCTGAACACTGACCCTGAATGGGCTCTGGGCAAGAGTTATGTAACCATATCTCAAACAGCCTCCAGCTTCATTAAAGGTTTCCCAAAACCCTTTCCCCTGCAGAAATGGTTTTCCCCTGTAGTTCTGTCTGATCTCAGTCTTGTAATCTTGCTTCAGCCTCCCAAAGAATAGGATTACAGGGGTTTTTTAGCTGCTTTTCCTGCTGTGAGGATAAAGTACAGTGAAATAAAATGCTTGAGGAAGGAAGGATTTATTTGGCTCCCAGTTTGAAGGCTTTTCCATCCCTAGTTGGGAAGAAGAGAACGATGAATATTCTTGCTAAGCTGGTTTTTTTTTTCCCTTTTAAAGCAGTTTGGAACCCAAGCTCAGGAAATAGTATTGCCCACTTTTAGGGTGGGCCTCTCCACATTCGTGAACATAGTCAAGATAATCCCTCACAGGTGTGTCTGGAGGCTTGTCTCATGGGTGCTTTCTGAACTCCAAGGAGTTGACACTAACCGTCATACATAGTGTGCCACCACACCAGATTCTCAATACCTTTTTTTTTTGATAAACAAATGTACTATTTTTCTTTCTTTTGAGGGGAGTGTGTGGTGTATGTAAGTGTATGCGTGTGCATGCGTGCACTTGTCCATGCGTGTAGGTCAGAGGTCTGTCTGCTGGGTATCTCTTCCTCAGTCATTCTTTGTCTTACTTTTTGAGACATGTTCTCTCACTGAACCCAGAGCTTACCATTGGGACTAGACTGGGTGGCCAGTGAGTCCCGAGGACTTATGTGTCTCTGCTTCCTGGTGCTGTGGTTACAGGCATGTATTGCCGGGCTCAGCATTTGATGTGAGAGCTGGGGATCTGAGCTCAGGTCTTCATGCTTGCACAGCAAGAGCTTACTCACTGAGCCATTTTTGAAATGGTGACTTTAATAAAAAATGATTGCACAAAGCTTTTCATTTTATAATGTATGTGATGGGAATATGCCCGAGGCCACCTGGTACCTCTCAACCAAGCCCTTCTTAGGGGTCAACCTTAAACGGATCTGAAGTCTGAGGAGTTTGGGTGGGTAGGTTCTCCGTGAGGAGAGTCCTTTCTACACCACACCTGTTTTTCCTCTTTCCTTACCTCCCACCCCACTGGTGCCGTCTTTCTGTATGGGCAAGGATGAAGAGCTGTGGCTTCCTGTTTTGTATTGAGCCACTCTTAGATACCCAGCCGAAATTTTGTTCTTAGGAGGTACTTCCCATCTGTCCTTTCATTCCTTGGTTATCAGCTTATTCACCATTCATCATCTCTTGCTTAAACATTAATATCTGTCCCTGGGTTAGTGGTCCCACTAGAAATAGCTTCCCATGGGGAGTGGTGGAGGATAGGCCATGTTCCGAGAAAAGGCACTGGGCGAAAGGGAGAGGCGAGAGCCTGAGAGAAATGGATCCAAGTGGTCTGTCTCTGAGTCTGGTCTCCCTATGGTCAGTCACTCCAAGTGGCCACAGAGATACCCAGGGTCTCCTTAAGGACAGACTTTGGCTGGTTCAGGAACTGGGTCCCGAGGTCTGAGGGGCATTGATGGGATGCATGTATTAGGGCTTCCAGCAGTGAGAGACCTAGGGGTGGGTAGGGTTCATTGGCTCATCAGTGCCATGGGGCTGGCACCGGTGGGTGTGGCAGTGAGGCCAAGGCAGCTCTGGGGCTGAGGTTGCATCTCTTTGGTTGTGTGCAGAAAAGTTGGATGAGATCCTGGCAGTTGCTGCGGAGCCGACACTGAGGCCAGACATTGCCGATGCTGACTCCAGGGCAGCCACTGTCAAGCAGCGGCCCACCAGCCGGAGGATTACCCCTGCCGAGATCAGCGTAAGCCAGCCTTGGGCCAGGGCTCGGGGATGGTCAGGTCCAGGGCCTGGGGATCAGAGGGTCATGCACCTCTCTTTTGAGGTAAGAGTTCTTTATTTGGAGCCCTTCTTCAGAGGAGGTGTGGAGCTCTCCACAGCCTCTCTGGGAGACATCGGGACCATCTCAGCCTATAGAATGTTTGTAGTTCAGCTTGCTTCTATGGTTGCAGCCTTTAGTGCCTCTGACCTCAGTCAGATTCTGTGTCACCCTGGGACTACTAGGGTCCATGAGGTTTGCTGAGCCTACAGTACAGCATATGCCTATTTAGAAGGCATCTATAGCCCACCTGGCACTGTGGATTCTTCCTCCCTCTCTATTCAGACTATTCTGTGTTCATTTCACCACCCATATAGTGAAGGCCCCGACTGAGCCTGGGCACCAGCGCCTTTGGGGTATCTGGTGTATGGGTCTCTGGTCTAGCTTAGGATGGGTGGGGCTGGATGGAGAACTGGGTGCTCCAGTACCCCGGAACTTCCATGTTCCTCCCTGACCCCACAGTCATTGTTTGAGCGCCAGGGCCTCCCAGGCCCAGAGAAGCTGCCGGGCTCTTTGCGGAAGGGGATTCCACGGACCAAATCTGTAGGTATGGCTGGGCAGAGGGACTGCTTGGGGTTGGGATGGCTGGGCTTGGATGGGTGGCTTCAGGGTTGGAGGACCCCATCTCTCTCTGCGAGGTTCAAGGGTGTCATTTTGTTTATGGATCTGAGTTTGTTCTTCCACCCAGAGATGTGCCGTGGGAAGACACCCTTGAGGTTCTTTGTCCCAGCCTGCCTTTCTCCATCCATGGGCACCCTTGGTACTTCTCTTCCTGTCTTATACACTTCTGCCTTATGCACATAACAACTGCCACCAGGACAGCTATTTCCTGTCCTGTCAGCCAGAGTGCAGGTCCAGTTTTTCATCCTAAAATTACTCTCTTCTTGAATCTACTCCATTTCTCCAGGTAGTAACCTCTCCCCATCCCTTCATAGTCAAACCCAAAAGGTCACTCGTAAACCCCGTATGTTCATAAACTGGACAGCTTTGTCTCCCCACAGCCAAATTGAAGCTGCTCCCACTAGGGTCACCAGTTGCCTCAGGGCATTTCCCCTGGCAGACAGTATTAGCCTTCCTCAGTTGGCATTCATTTCTTTGCACCCTCCTCTGTGAAACTTCTTGTATTGTGGGAGTGAGTTTCTTGCTCTCCTCTCTTTTCTTGGCTGCATTTGTTCAGCATATCCAAACAGTAGGCCAACTCAAGGCTGTGCCCTCAGCCTCCTTTTCTTCTGTCTATCATACTGCGGAGCTACATTCACTGGCCACCATCACAGTTTTCTAATCCCAGACCAGGATCTGTAACAAACCCTACTTATTGCATTTCTTAGGCATCTAGTCTCCTTGACATGTTGACCCATCCATCCACCTGTCCATATACACCCTACCATACCCACCATCTGTTCCATATCAGAGTAAACCCTTGCATAGCCAAGGACAGGACAGATGTGAGGTGCTTATATACACACTTTTATTTAATACCTACAGCAACCATATTGGGGGGATTATTAATTTTACTTAAGGAGAGTTAAAATGACTTGCCCAAAGTCACATAGCAGCCCTGCCTGTACCTCCTAGCCATTCTTAAGCCAAACAGCTATCCAGTTGTGCCCATTACCTGTTCTGGAGTTCCTGCTTACTATAAGCTGGCTCTAGGCTAGATCTGGGTCTCAGTTGGAAGGTGTCATGTCTACTGTTAGGTCAGTTGAGCAGTTATAATGTGGGTGCCAAAGTACACATAGAAATGGAGACTGACTGGGAAGGTCCATATCAACATGTACACTTAGAATAACAGGGCGAGCAGAAGTTTCCTGGGGATGGAGGGGTAAATGTCTGATGGAGGCTAGTATGTAAAACACATTCGTGTATATATGGGATTGTCCTTCATGGGCTGATTGATAGTGAGGAGGGTGGGGACGGGTGGCTGGTGAGAGATTGCAGCTACTACTTTCTGTTCTCCCATGCATTGTGGGAATCCTCCATGGTTTCTTTATTTCCTGCCTCCCTTGCCTTATAACTGTGTTCAGGACAGGCTTGTCTTCCCCATGTCCTCTTGCAGTGGATCTGTTCTCTCTCCCATCTCTCTGGCAAAAGAAGCTTTCTGTAGCATATTTGTCACCTGGTATCCCTCCAGCTGGTCCCATGTGAGCTCTTGTGGTCTCAGGGTTCCCCAGAGCAGCAACAGCCCTGTTCTGCTTCAACTGGGGTATCTGTTACTGACTCTATGACATGAGTCTTCCTACACTTACTGCTACCTATCTGCCTTCACTCTTCCTGGATGGTTTTTCCCAGAGCTGACAACTGTAGACCCAGACCTATGGACTTGTCATATGGCCTCAAACTCCTTGGCAAGCCAGCCAACTCCTCCTAGCTGGGTACAGTTGGCCAGTGGGGTAGCAGGTGTTCAACTTTAGTTCCCCATGGCTGGCACATTGCCAATTGCCAGCATGACCATTGGTTAAGTTCTCAGGTTCCTTGGACTCACACTTCAGATCTGCTGCTTGTCCCTGGGTATATAATATAACTCTTGGAACCCCAGGACTGCAAACATGGATACTGCCAGTAAGGACTGTTCAGGCTCTTCCTTGAACATTGTTGCAGTAGTTGCAGCAGCCCTTTGATCCAGGCTCTGTGTGTCTTGAGCACATAGCCAGCACATGATTCTGCTGTGGACTGGCAGACAGAGAGGGTCTTTCTTTGTTCTGGTGTCAGCACAGACCCCTTTCTGTTCGAGGCAGGTGATTTTCTTTACCCTCAGGCACAGCCTACTGTGCCATTAGTATTAAATTCCACCCCCTCTTTCATTGTCACACATCATTCCTGCCTTCTGTAACCTTAAGATCTATGTGAGTTCTTCCTACATAGCTCCACCGAGCACACAGGCTTGTGAATGTTCAGTACATGTTCCTGTGCTGTGTGGGAATGGCATAAAGAGCCCAAGGCCAACTAGGCAGCCCTTGAAATAACCAGTGATGACCTCAGTCATCTTTCTTGGTGTTGGCTACCTGTAATCTTGAACTGTTAATAGCCCTGTGACAGGGGCAAGTAAGGTCCTGTGATGAAACAGATTCCTAAAAGTGACTTGTGTGAAGCTGAAATTCAAGCCTAAGTTTGCAACAGACCTACCCCTTACTAGTAGTCCCGAGATGTAGCTTGTCACTACCAAGTCTGTCTTCTACTTCTTAGGTCGGCTGCTCAGTATTTACAAGTCTCACTGTATGGAACTCTGCACAGGTGTCTACATTATATCTGAAATAATACAGGAGGTTCTGTAAGGGTCTAGCCTAATGACATCTCTAGACAGGAGGATGGGGATCGTTTTTTAGTTAAGTGTAGCCTATGAGAGAACAGGTCCAAGTGGGGCTTACACTCTGGCTTGAGGGTAACATGCCTTGGGTGCTTGACCTTCAATTCTAGTTTAGTTTACCCATCCATTCTTCCTTCCATCTACCTATCCGGCCTCTCTAAATTTCAGCCTCTGGCTAGAGTACCAACTTTCTAGTAGCTGTAGCCAGTCCTCGAGAGTCTCCTCAAGGAACCATTGCCCCTCATTTCCCAGCCTCCTACCCTGCGTATCAGTGCCACCTCTTCCAGAAGCATGGGTCCATTACCACTATCCTGCATTCCCTCACTGATACTTACTTTGGGTGTTGGGGGTGGGGGCTGTCTTTCTGACCACCTTTCTTCCCATCTCTGGTTGCCATCAGGGTCTCCATTGGCTTCTGCTTGTTCAACACTGAATGTTTCAGAGTTGCTTTGCTCATCCTTGTGTGGGAAGCCCCTAACCAACCCCCGGGTCCTCTTAACAGTTTTCTGGGGGCAGGCGCTTGCGGGGGAGGGGGCGGGAGGTGTGCTGCCTATCTATACCTTCCTGGTGTCTTCTCATGGCCTGCTTCATACCCACAGTAGTTGGGGAGATCCTGGCCTAAGTCCAGGCAGTCAGAGTTTGGGTCCTGGACTAGCTCCTCTGCAGGAGCAGCCCTCCACACTGTGGTTGGGGTTCCTTCTGGGCCCTTCAGCAGTGCTCTCCCTACCCGTACATATTTGGCACAGAGCATGGGTGTCCTGCTTAGGGCTTTTGCTTTCTTCCTTGGCTTTCAGTGGGCCCTGATCCCATGTTCCTTGGTGGGGCTGTGGCCACTCAGGGGTGCAGGCAGGATAGGACTAGCCTGTGGCACTGGGTCCAGAGAGGCCTTTGAATGGCCGGCATCCTTGCCAGACTTACCTGGCCCCTCCGTCCCCAGGGGAGGACGAGAAGCTGGCATCCCTACTGGAGGGGCGCTTCCCACGCAGCACATCAATGCAGGACACAGTGCGTGAAGGTCGTGGCATTCCGCCCCCACCCCCGACCGCCCCACCACCCCCACCTGCGCCCTACTACTTCGATTCCGGGCCACCTCCCACCTTTTCACCGCCGCCACCGCCGGGCCGGGCCTACGACACTGTGCGCTCCAGCTTCAAGCCAGGCCTGGAGGCCAGCCTGGGTGCTGGAGCCGCTGGTCTGTATGATTCTGGCGCGCCTCTGGGCCCGCTGCCCTACCCTGAGCGTCAGAAGCGTGCACGCTCCATGATCATCTTGCAGGATTCAGCGCCAGAAGTGGGCGACGTCCCCCGGCCCGTGCCTGCAGCTACACCGCCAGAGCGCCCCAAGCGCCGGCCTCGGCCGTCTGGCCCTGATAGCCCCTATGCCAACCTGGGCGCCTTCAGTGCTAGCCTCTTTGCTCCGTCGAAACCACAGCGCCGCAAGAGCCCACTGGTGAAGCAGCTTCAGGTGGAGGACGCTCAGGAGCGTGCGGCCCTGGCTGTGGGTAGCCCGGGCCCAGTTGGTGGAAGCTTTGCACGAGATCCCTCCCCAACGCACCGCGGGCCCCGGCCGAGTGGCCTTGACTACGGCTCTGGAGAAGGCATGGGGCTAACATTTGGTGGCCCTGGTCCTGGCCCCGGCCCCGGCAAGGAGCGGCGCCTGGAGGAGCGACGCCGTTCCACTGTGTTCCTGTCTGTAGGTGCCATCGAGGGCAGCCCTCCCAGCGCAGATCTGCCATCTCTTCAGCCCTCCCGCTCCATTGATGAGCGCCTCCTGGGGACAGGCACCACCACTGGCCGCGATTTGCTGCTCCCCTCCCCTGTCTCTGCTCTGAAGCCATTGGTCAGTGGCCCTAGCCTTGGGCCCTCAGGCTCCACCTTCATCCACCCACTCACTGGCAAACCCTTGGATCCTAGCTCACCCCTAGCCCTTGCTCTGGCTGCCCGAGAGCGGGCTCTGGCCTCGCAAGCACCTTCCCGGTCCCCCACACCTGTGCACAGCCCCGATGCTGACCGCCCTGGACCCCTCTTTGTGGATGTGCAGACCCGAGACTCCGAGCGAGGGCCGTTGGCTTCACCAGCCTTCTCCCCTCGGAGCCCAGCCTGGATTCCAGTGCCTGCTCGAAGAGAGGCCGAGAAGCCCCCTCGGGAAGAGCGGAAGTCACCAGAGGATAAGAAATCCATGATCCTCAGCGTCTTGGACACGTCCTTGCAGCGGCCAGCTGGTCTCATTGTTGTGCACGCCACCAGCAATGGACAGGAGCCCAACAGGCTGGGGGCTGAAGAGGAGCGCCCCGGTACTCCGGAGCTGGCCCCAGCCCCCATGCAGGCGACGGTTGTGGCAGAGCCTATGCCAAGCCCCCGGGCCCAGCCCCCTAGCAGCATCCCAGCAGATCCCGGGCCAGGCCAAGGTAGCTCAGAGGAGGAACCAGAACTGGTATTTGCTGTGAACCTGCCACCTGCTCAGCTGTCCTCCAGTGATGAAGAAACTAGGGAGGAGCTGGCCCGTATTGGGCTAGTGCCACCCCCTGAAGAGTTTGCCAATGGAATCCTGCTGGCCACCCCACCCCCTGGACCGGGCCCCTTGCCCACCACGGTACCCAGCCCGGCCTCAGGGAAGCCCAGCAGCGAGCTGCCCCCTGCCCCTGAGTCTGCAGCTGACTCTGGAGTAGAGGAGGCTGACACTCGAAGCTCCAGTGACCCCCATCTGGAGACCACAAGCACCATTTCCACAGTGTCCAGCATGTCCACCCTGAGCTCGGAGAGTGGGGAACTCACTGACACCCACACCTCCTTTGCCGATGGACACACTTTTCTACTCGAGAAGCCACCAGTGCCTCCCAAGCCCAAGCTCAAGTCCCCGCTGGGGAAGGGGCCGGTGACCTTCAGGGACCCGTTGCTGAAGCAATCCTCGGACAGTGAGCTCATGGCCCAGCAGCACCATGCTGCCTCTACTGGGTTGGCTTCTGCTGCTGGGCCTGCCCGCCCTCGCTACCTCTTCCAGAGAAGGTCCAAGCTGTGGGGGGACCCCGTGGAGAGTCGGGGGCTCCCTGGGCCTGAAGATGACAAACCAACTGTGATAAGTGAGCTCAGCTCCCGTCTCCAGCAGCTGAACAAAGACACACGCTCCTTGGGGGAGGAACCAGTTGGTGGCCTGGGCAGCCTGCTGGACCCTGCAAAGAAGTCTTCGCCCATTGCAGCGGCTCGGTGAGCAGGGTGATGTGGGGAGGGGCCTGTCCCCCGTCTTTGTTCCATCTGTTCATCAGCAGGCTTCCCTCTGTTCTTCCTCATTCTGTCCCATCTCTCATCTGTCTATGGCACGGGTTCCCCTATCCACCTCTCTATCTTTGTCTGGTCTTGCTTTGCTGTCTGAGGTAGAAGGCTCCTAGTGCAGCTGCTCTCTGCACCCATTTTGGTGCAGGCAGTGGGACTGGGTACCTATGAGACTTTAGGTAATTCAGGAGGCCTCCCGGCATCTGCCGGAGGCCCTACTGCAGGTTTGCAACTTTACAACCTGGCTTCTAACTCAAGATGCCTCAGCCGTTAAGGATCATTTCAGGTTGTACTCTGGAGCTACCGTTCCTTCCCAGCAGCTATTTGGCCCTGTGTCTACTGCCCCATGGCTCCATTTTGTTTCTCTTTCTGATAGTATGGCTGTCCCATATGGCTGGTGTCACCTCCTGGAGCAGCCTTCTGCCTTGTTCCCTTTTCAGGCCAGAGTACAGTGGTTCATTTCTTTAGGGACTTCATACAAATTTATGTTGTGCCTTAGAAACATTTGTCTTGTGGCACTCTCAGGATCCTTAAACACAGAATCCTGGATGTGATTTGTATCGCTCCATCAAGAAGAGTTGGAAATCATACCATCTCTTCTCTAACCTTTTTTCCTTTCTTGTCCTGTCTGCCTCTCCCCCGAGTGGTGATGAGGGTAGGGGAGGTTGCTGATCTGGTGTCTGGATGCTGCGAAGGTTGTTGCTAACATTTTGTAGGCAGATTGATCCTTCAGGTCCTTTCTTGGGAATCTTCCCTGGGCTCCCATGTGGACTGTTCGCATGATAGCTGCCAGCCTCTTGTGTATGTTTCTCGAGCTGCTTCTGCCTGTGCCCCAAGATTCCCATATGCTAGGTTTGGGTGTGAGGCCACCTCCTGATTCCCTACTCCTTGTTTCTTAGATGCCCTTCACTGGCAGCTGTGGAAGACAGGGGTTCACAGAGTGGCGATCAGGGCACAGCTTAAGAACGGCTTATTCAAAGGGCCTGTTTTTACATTCTTCCAGTTTTGGATTCCATAGATGAGTGGGAGCTTGAGACGTTCACATTGCCTCTGTTGAGAGGTTCAGGGACATTCCTGTCATTCTTGTGGCCTGTTCCCAGGCCTTCTCCCTTTTTGGCCTCTTCTAACTCTCAGCCCAATTTGAAAGCCCTTCTCAGTAGTTCAGTAATGAAGGCATCCTTGGAGTGGGCATGGTAGATATGGGCCAGTCAGGAGGAGTGGCTGAGGTCCCAGGTTTGCCTTCAGAATTGGATCCTCAAAGCTAGGAGGTACCCTGATACAACCTCAATTGGACCTTTTTCTTCCTTCTTTGTCTTTCTGCCCATCACCAGCCCTTCTGTCTGCCTCTTTTCTTGATGACAGTTGTACATAGCATACTGCTTAGCCTGTTGCAGGGCCTCAGTAAACATGTATTAAGCCAATAAAAGAAGGGAGCTTAATGCAAGTGCTGTATTGTTATTTGAAATCCAAAAGGGTGTCCTAAAGCAAATTTCAAGGAAGGACAGATGGGCAAAGATCTCTCAGGTTTCTAGTGGCACCTTCTCTCACACATTGAGTTTGTACTCCGTCATTTCACATTGCAGAGGTAGACTTCCGCTGTATAGCACAGTTACTCACGACATTCCTTAGGTCTATAAGTAATAAAATATACTGAGTGTTCAGCCAGCTTAGCACCACTGAACTACCTTGTACCCTGTGTTCCCCCATTTTCCTGTGTTCCATTCTGCTCCCACTCACTTTTCTTCTGCCTTTTGGGCTCTTTATTTTTGGTTTTGTTTTTGGAGGCAGGGTCTTACTGTGCAGTCTGAGCCAGCTTTGATCTTCCCACTTGACTCTCCTCAGTGTGAGCTATCACCTCATCATACCTGGGTGAAACAACAGCCATCCGGATTGTGTTCTACTGCCTGCCACAGTGCTTTTTTCTCTGGCTACAGGCATGGGGCACCTGGGACATTGTGTCCATCTACCTTATTTCAGACCTGATCTTTTATCTGGTCTTGGTAGACACTCTGGCTTTGATGGCTATTGGGGCTATACCTCAGCACTGGCCTTGTAGCCAATGGGGACTGGAATCTAGTATTCATGTTGCTTTGGGATAAAATCACTAATGAACCTTTCTCTTAGAGAAGTGTCTAAAGTGTGTGATGTTCTAATGTCTAGGTGTGTCCTTAGGATCTGTCCTAGCAGAGGTCCTGAGCCACATCTTTGGAATATGCATGGTTCCCGAGTTTTACCTACCAGGCTCATCCGTCTCTTCTTTTTATGGATTCCATCCAGAAGGAAATGACCCTCTTTGTCTACCTTCTCTATAGATGGCTTAGTCCAGGCAGTAATACAGTCTAGCTATGGGCGCTCAACAACCTGAGCTTTTTGAGAACAAGTTAAATGTCCCTGTGCATCATGGGACAAAAGCTCAGTAACCTGTAGATCAGTGCATTTACACTGGGCCCATTGTTGGTGTTTGGGTTGAAGCTAGAAGGTGCATTGTTCTTGGTGCTACTGCTGAGGTCTGTGTTCCCACCTGGACTTCACTTCAGGTTTCAGGTCTGGCCCCCACTGGGCAGTTTCTTATGTCTGAGAGGGCCCAATTTGAGCTGTGTGTTATTTGTCCATCGTTGAAAATCCAACTTTGGATTCTGCAACTGATTGTGGAGCTACCCCTGTCTATCTTGAGACCCACCCCTGTCTCCAAATTCCACTTATCTTCTGGGTCTCATGTTTGGACTTGAATCTTACGTGTGGTTTGAAACCTGTAACAATACTGTTTTTCCTTGGCTTTCTGTGGGATGGATTGGTGCTGGGGATTGAGCATAGGGCCTTGTGCATACAAGGCAAGTGGTCAACCATTGAGCTACATCCCTTGCTTTGTTTTTATTTCGATATGGGATCTTTCTTCTTATTTTATGTTGTTGTTGTGTGTGTATGCATGTGTACACGTTTTATGATGTACATGTGGAAGTCAGAGGGCAACTTTTGGGGAGTCAGTATTTTCTTTGCACTTTGTGGGTACTGACCGGGGACTGAACTCAGGTCATCAGGCTTGGCTGCAAGTGGCTTCAGCACCGAGCCATCTCACCAACCTGAGATAGTCTTTCTGTATAGCATAAGCTAGCTGGTTTTGAACTCACTGTGTAGCCCAACTTGGCCTTAAGCCTAAAATCCTCCCACCTTTGGCCTCCTAAGTGTTGGAATCATAGGTGTGTTCTGTCAAGCCAGCCAGCTGGCTCAATTTCCACATTTTTTTTTTTTAAATCATGATGAAATAGCTTTGGAGATATTTGCTGCAGTAGTTTTCAGTGCCCCCCCCCCCATGCTTGTGTGTGGGTGGTCAAAGTGTGCCCTGTTCTTTAGACCTGTTGAAGTCACTAATGAGATCTCAAAGGAGACCCATTTTCTAATTAGGTTGCTCTACAAAGCCCTGCCCTGTCTGTCTGATATAGGTCCTGCCTGCATGTTAATGGTTTGGACAAAGTCTGTGTGCTGGGGCAATCATACATGAAGGTTTTTGAGACCAGTTGGATACTGGGGACAGGATACATTATTGTATCCCTGCAGGTCACATGCATGAGGTCACATGCAGATGCATCCTCAAAAGTCCCAAACTCTGCTAGGGAACAGAAAGAGATCATAAGACATTAGGTCCCTGGGCATATCAGTGTTGGATAGGCCAGGAGGTGAGGAGTGAGGCCAAGGCAGCAGAGAAGCCTCCTGGAGAATCTTTGGAGCTCTGCTTGGTCTGTGTTGCTACTAAGAATTGTCCTGTAATGAGGCCTCTGAGTTGTCAAAGGCACAGGCCTAGACCTGACCCACATGAGTGCAAAGGCCCTGAGTATGAACAATTTATTGTCTGTTGTTACCAGTGAGCTGACAGAGGTAAGGCGGTCTCAGGAGGAAGATGTTGTGGTGTTTTTGTAGGTGACATCTTTTTGTCAGTGTGTATTATATTCCTGAGTGTGTGCCAGGTTCTAGGGATCAGGGAAAGCTTCGAAGAAGGAAGTGAGGGGCTGGCATGTAGCTGGGTGGTAGCGGGCTTGCCTGGTATGCATGAGGCCTGTGTTCTATCCTTAGCAGAGAATAAGGGAGAAAGGGAGGAGGAAGAGAAGGGTGAAAGGCAGGGAGGGTGAATGTGAGGAATTGGTGACATTCGCCCAAGATAAAAAGGTAGAGGAGCTCCCGGGCCTCTTGTCTGGGTGCTGTTCACGGAGGCAGGGTTGGACATCCTGTGTGTTGAGATGTTATGAGATCCCAGTGGAAACCTAAGCTCAGAAGAAACCAATGGCTTCTCACATATGGCATTCCTTGGGCTTATTAGTCATAGCATAGAATGGGGGTAGATGATACGGCCTCAGAAAGTACAGATTATGAAAGAGTGTGGGCTAGAAAATCCATCCAGGAAGTAAGATGCCGAGGAAAGGGTTCCTCCAAGGAAACAGATGAACAGGTCAGCTGGAGTCCCTGCCTATGGCCTTGGTGATGGCCAGGAGCAAAGGCCAGATCTCACTGGCTGGGAGTTCCTGGAGGCAAGATCTTAGAGGGTGTGTCAGCCAGGAGCACTTTGGAGGGTAGCAGATACTGTGAGGTGACCTTGTGGTGGATGCAGCCTGATCATTAGGTGGTGGATCGGTTAGTTATTAGCGGCAATAGGCAGAGATAGGTATGCAGAGGTGTGTGTAAATGTGTTGAAATCAGATTTGCACACTTCTGGGGTTTCTGCCCTGGGGACAGTGTGGGTAATAGTCTTCTCCAAGAGGTGGGCAGGGTACAGACACTGATACTTTGGCTACTTCTTCCTATACACACCTGTCCTTGGGTTTTTCTTCTAGGCCTCCCAACATCTCCAATACTGGTGGAGGTTGCTGAGGTATATGTCCATCCCTCTCTCTACTCCCAGGCCACTGGCTACAGACTCTTGTTTCCAGACCCTGGGTGCCTCTGAAGCCAGTTTGCCCTCAGCCCAGGCCTCCGGTCACCCCTGCCAGGAAGGAAGGCTTTGATGCTATCCAGACAGGTATAGCTTACTTGGCTCAGCTTAGACTCTCTTTGGACCCAGATTCTCTTCTGAGCTCTGCTTGAAGCTCCCCCTATACTGCCTGACAGCTGTTTTGTAGCCTCTAGTTTAGCAGTATGCTGCTGAAACCTAACCCTTGGGGGTAGGTCTTGTGTAGATGTGTATTCTGTGACACAGATGCCCGGGCTAGGGTCAGCATGAATTCAGGGGGACAAACAGACAAGATGACGTTCCTAGCTTTGTTTTACTCTGTGTGTGACCACAGTCTGAGCTCACAACTATGCTTCTAGCACCACCCCCCTAGGGGACCTCACCACCTTCTCTATTGCCACCGCACTTTGTCCCCAATCCAAGATGACTCCATGAGGCCAGGTTCCATAAGAGTGAAAGTTTCTTCTGGGGGCTTTGCCTGTTCCTTGTATATACTTCAGAGTTCTTGGAATCTGTGTGTTGGGGCCACTGTCTGGCTTCTTCAGGAAGCTCTGCCCTGGGTCTGAGCAGTTGGGAGGAAGCAATAGGGACAGGTTGAGGAGAGAACCATTAAAACGGATGGAAATGAGGTCTTCTGGGAAGGGCTTATCAGTGTGAGGTAGAAATTGAAAGTTGCTTTAAAGGAACATGTTAGTTAGCTCTTTTCTGTGACAGATTTTTACCAAACAGGAACAACTTTGGTTTATAGTTTCTGAGATTTCAGTCCATGGTTTCTTGGCCCTATTGTTGTGGAGAGCATTGTAATGGGACAATGGTGTGGATATAGTGAAATCATTTCATGGCATCCAGGAACAAGGGAAGAAAGTTGGAGGAATAAGACCATCAAATTATGAAGTCATCAGTGTTGCTGTGATCATTATCGCTTTTTTGGGGGGTGGGGCAGAGTTTCAACATGTAGCCTTGCCTGGTCTGGAGTTCACTCTGTAGACCAGGCTGGCCTCAGACTCACAGAGGTCTGCCTGCTTGTGCCTCCTGAGTGCTGGGATTAAAGGTGTGTGCCACCATAGCCAGCACCCATCAGTGTATTGATGGGATCCACCACTATATCCTCCAAATGCAAGCCTTTTAGGGGAATATTGCTTAGCCAAAATACAACAAGGAGAGAGAAGTGTTGAGAGGACTCTGGCTGGTGTGGACTAGGCACTGGTGATTCTGTGCCAAGTGGGTAGGAACTTAGGCCAGCTTAAGAAAGAAGGCATTGTCGGGGTGGGGCGTGAGATGGCAGCTGGAGAGGTTGGTCAGACAGCAGAGACCCTATTGGACTGCTAGGCACTGTTAAGCAATACAACAGTCTGCACGGCACACTGGAGAGAGCTGGAGAGCCATTCTAGGGCAGGCAAATCAGACTCCTTCTAGCCTAGCTCTCCTAGGCACTTTCTCTTCCCCAGTACCTTCTGAGTTCCAACCTCCATAGAGTGTCCCACAGGGGTCCCTGAACCTGGCTGCCCATTGTGTGGTTGTGACTGAAGGCATTGTGGGCCTGGCCTGCTAACACTCTCTCTCATTGCTCTTTCCTGCCCATCTATCTGCATGTGGCTGCTCTGTCTAGCTGCGCGGTGGTCCCGAGTGCCGGCTGTGTAAGTGAGCATGCCCATCCCATGCCTCTTGCAGACCACATGCTGTGCCTGGCTGCCCCGGGTTGCTCTGCATGGCTTTGTGGGGCTTTGGTGCTACTGACCGCTACTGAGACTGTTGTTGGCCATAGTTAGGGTTAGAGATGGGAAGGCTATGGGAATAGGCTTCCTGTAGATCAGCCACCTCAGGCTGGCCTCCCTCCAGCCAGCCAGGCTGGGGCAGGGCTGGACGTCCACGATCCTGCCAGGTGAGGTTGGGAATTGAGGTACCGTTTGCCTTGTGTGTCTGCCTCTGTGCTACCACATTCCTGTCACACTGCTGCATGTCTGCAGCACATGTAGTCACCGTTGCTGCTGTGGTGTGCTCTTCTGGGCAGGGAGATTGCCTTCCTGTTTATGGTGTGCTGTTGGCGCAACCTCTTGTGGGTGTGACCCTTACCTGGTGTTTGTCTCCAGTGTTCATGGACCTGTTTGGTCTTTTGCCACAGCCAGCCTTTACCATAACTCAGCCATCCCTGAATCTGGCCTAGGTTTTCTGGGTTTGTGTATGCTTGAGAACAGACCTGAATGTGGGGAGTGGTCAAGATGTTCTGATCTTACAGTCCACAGCATCTGTGGATGGAACCCATGACCAGAGACTGTGTTAGAGGCTGGCAGGGAAGGCCAAGCAGCTCTTGTCCATGAGAAACTCTTTCCTTTGGTGAACTGCCCTTGGGGCCTCCATGGAGAGCTGTGTGGGGGACTAGTCTTACTCCTTAGATTCTGGTCAGTCTAAGAATTTCCCAGATCAAGGCACAGACCAGGAGGCCCCCCCCCCCTTTGGATTTTTAAAAAAGAGTGACCACAGGATATTCCCACAGCCCTAGTCCTCCTGGCTTTGCTCCCCTCTGTCCACCCCGACTTGCATTTCCGCCCCTCACCTGGCCCTCACCCACTCTCCCTCCGCAGGCTCTTCAGCAGCCTCGGTGAGCTGAGCACCATCTCAGCGCAGCGCAGCCCCGGGGGCCCGGGCGGAGGGGCCTCCTACTCGGTGCGGCCCAGCGGCCGGTACCCCGTGGCGAGACGAGCCCCGAGCCCAGTGAAGCCCGCATCGCTGGAGCGGGTGGAGGGGCTGGGGGCGGGCGTGGGAGGCGCGGGGCGGCCCTTCGGCCTCACGCCTCCCACCATCCTCAAGTCGTCCAGCCTCTCCATCCCGCACGAACCCAAGGAAGTGCGCTTCGTGGTGCGAAGTGTGAGTGCGCGCAGCCGCTCCCCCTCGCCATCTCCGCTGCCCTCGCCTTCTCCCGGCTCTGGTCCCAGTGCCGGCCCGCGTAGGCCATTCCAGCAGAAGCCCCTGCAGCTCTGGAGCAAGTTCGATGTGGGCGACTGGTTGGAGAGTATCCACTTAGGCGAGCACCGAGACCGCTTCGAGGACCATGAGATCGAAGGCGCACACCTGCCTGCGCTCACCAAGGACGACTTCGTGGAGCTGGGCGTCACGCGCGTTGGCCACCGCATGAACATCGAGCGTGCGCTCAGGCAGCTGGATGGCAGCTGACGCCGCACTCCCTCCCCCGTTCCTGCTGCGCCCTGCCGGCAGGGCTCCCACCCCTACTCCAGGCCGCAGGCTCGGCTCGCCCCCTACCACGGCGCCCCGGGCCAGGAATGTTGCATGATTCGTCCTGTTTGCTGTTGCTTGGAGACTTGCCCTATGGTTAGGGGGTTGGGGCGGGGGGGGTGGGGGTAGGGGGGAGACAGTGTGGTTCTGGCTGGGGGGCAAGGAGCCCCCTGTTTTACATATTTTAATCCACTCTATATTTGGAACGAGAAAAGGAACAAATATCTCTGTCCGTAACAGTTCCCACCCTCTTCCCCTCTAGTCCTTTCGCTGGTCCCGCCACAGCTGCCCAGTCTTCCATCTCCGGCCCCTCACTGCCACCCCATACAGGGCAGGGGACACTCCAGCTGGCCTGGGGTTAGCCAGGGTCCTGGCAGCCCACCCTGGGGACCCCGGCTCAGCCCCCTTCCCTTGCTGAGCTATAGTGCCCCCCACCCACCCTTTAGGTGCTGCTCAGGGGGACGGGTGGCAGGCATTGCCTGCTGGGCACTAGCAGGGCCAGGTGGCCTGGGAGATTATTGCCCTGGGGCTGGGCCCCGGTAACCCAAACCCCAGCCATCATCTTCACAGGGTCTCTCCCAAAGGAGGGGTCTAACCTTTCCACTTCTTGGGCAACTACAGCAGAGAAGCCTCCCTGCCTCGCACCCCAAAGACTCCCCATCCCTGCTCTCTGTGTGTGCCACATATGTGTGTGCACGCCTGTGTGCTTGTGAAAACTGGGTGTGGCTGAGCGCATGGGTGCCCTGTATGTGCCTGATTGTGGAGTGGTCCCCAGGGGCTGTTGTGGATGGGTGGGAGGTTGCGGAAGCTCGCACAGGGTGCATGCGTGGGTGTGTGCCTGTGAAAATGCCCTGTCTTCTCCAAAGAAAGGCTGCTCTCGGATCGGGTCGCAAGCGCTGTTTGCTCAGACTGCTCCCCGAGCCTCACTCAGCTTAAGCAGGGTTTCTTGGTGAATCCTGTCAGCTATGGGAGGCCTCAAGGGCCCCCTGCAGACAGTACCCTCTTTGGGCTTCTAAAGAGATTGTGGGGACCACTAATAATCAGGCCACAACAGCCCTTGGAGAGAGGTAAAGGCTCCTGAGGGTACCCTGGCCCCCTTACTGTGACTCCTCACACTCAGCAATGACCTGTGGGGTGGGGGGCCCTGGGGCATTTTTAAACATAGGGTTTGGAGTCTGGACTAAGCTCCATCCACGTCACTCACAAGTTTCTGTTTCTATTTCTAGCTTTTTTTAATAAAAAAAAATAAAAAAAGACAGAAAACAGATGTTTTCATGGCCCAGGGGCTTGGCACGCCGGTCTGTGCTGACCCACCTGCCCCATTCCCTAGACAGAGTCACACCCACTAACCCTCGCACCAACAGACCAGGTCACACACACAGCAGCAGTCACTGTAACAGACTGCCACATACACAGTCTCACATTTACCTGTGGGTTTTTGGTTCTGTTCAATTTGGGTTTTTAACTTTACAGGGTCAGTTCTGCTTCATTCCCCCTTTTGTATGGAGTTCCATCTGGGGGCTTTCACCCCCTGCTCCAGTCCTGAGGCCTCCTGACCCTGACGTTGTGATACACCCCACAGAGATCTATGTTTCTTATATTATTATTATTAATAATAATTATTATAATATTATGTAATAAATTTATAAGAAATGAAACCATGTCTCAGTTGCTTGCTTAGGGTTAGGGAGTAGAGCCTGCTGCTCAGACAAATCACACAAGCCCACAGCCTTGACCCAGTGTACTCAGAAATATTATTTGGAGCAATCCTTTGTAGGTCTTCCTGTTAGATCAACCTACTCTAGACTGCTAGACTCTGGCTGAGGCTTTCTGCAGACTGTTTAACACCTCACGAGGTAGCACTTTCAAACATATTTTTATGTCTGTCTGCATCTGCGCAAGTGTATGCCCATGTGTGTGAGAATGCTCTGGGAAGTTAGCTGCCACTTAACAGTTGTGAGCTTTCTAGTGTGGGTGCTAAGAACCAAACTCCAGTCCTCTGCAAGGGCAGCAAGTGCTCTTAATGGCTGAGCCATCTCTCCAGCCCTGGGTGACAACCTCTAGACTGATGGTCCTCTGCGATCCCTGTCACGTTTTTTTTTTTTTCTTCTTTTTTTTCCCTTCTGGTGCTGGGATGGAACCCAGGCCAGTATTTTACCGCTGAAAGTACATCCCATCCCACTTTTAAACCTAAGATTGGAAACCATCTTCCAGTGTCTAGTTGTTTATAAAATCTGCTTTCAATTTCAAACCCCACATCCCCTCCACTGTGCTCATCCTTGAGTGCTATGTTTGGGCTCACTTCCCCCTGGGTTGATGATGCAGTGGTTTTCCGGCTCATTCCTACTTTCTGTCCCCCCCCCCAGCCACCCACCTCCCAGACAGCAAATGAAAGCTGGTGAAGGGTTCCCTTGCACTCTCTCTTGCCTGTCTCAGGCCTACTGGCTGTTCCCACTTTTGCTCTAGTCCCTGACTACTGTGGTGACACTTCAAGGTTCACTGTGTACTCACCTTCACTTCCTACCGAGATTGCCCACTCTTCGCCACCCTTCCTGGCTGTGCGATGCATCCCTTCTTCCGGGAACTCTCCTTGTTTTGAGTTTTCTGGAGTTCAGGTCGGACCTCACAGCTCCTGGTGTTGTCTCAAATCAGAGGAAACTGGTGCTTCTCACCTTGGGTCATCTCTACTCCCTCCAAGGCCAGAGCTAGCTTCTCAAGACCTTTTCCTGTTACTCTGAGCCATACACTGAACACAGACTTGACCTTCAAGAGCACGATGACAGGCAATGTGAGCAGCCAGCTGTCCACCAGCCAATCACGTGGCGGGGAGCCCACACTCTGTGGCCATGGGACAGGTGTCTAGCCATGAGCGCGGCCAGGAGAGCGAGTAGGCAGATCCCACTCAGCAAGAAGTTGGAGAGAGAGCTAAGGGATTGAGAGATGGCACGTGCCTGAAGGGAGGAAAGGCGAGTGGGTTAGTGGCTCAGGCGTCATGAACACGGATGGCAGATTCTAAAAGTCATCTCTGAGTCAAGAGTAGGACAAGGAAGGAGCTGGCTAGGAAATTGGGGAGTAGAAGTAATCCCAGATGGCAGGGGAGGCCCCAGGCCTCTTTACCCACAGAAAGAAGGTGTCCCAGGTAGCTTCAAGTAGCAGATGAAGGTCTGGTGGCCTAAAGTCATACTCACTTTGAAATGCCTGTGCTTCCTTGAAACTTAATGACAAATTTAAACCTGGTTGGGCAATACACCTCACTAGTCACTATAACCCTAAGGCAGGTACCAGGCTTATAGCCCATTCTAGAATTGGGGTGGACTCATTCTGCAGTGGCTTGTAATCATCTAGAATGTAGACACTAGATCCCCAGACTCAGTCTTTACATACTTCTCATGTGTAGCCTTGACTGTCCTGGAACTTACTTTGTAGACCAGACTGGCTTCCAACTCACGAGATCCACCTGCCTCTGCCTCCCTACTGCTAGGATTAAAGGCGTGGGCTACCACTGCCCGGCTAACTTCCTAAATATTTTATTTTATTTTTTCCTAAATATTTTAAACTAGGTAACTATATTTGATTTTGAAGTTTATATTCAACACATTCACCATACATTTAAGTAGTTATCAAGGCTTCTATACCACAAAATTGCATATATAAATGTTTAAAATAAAAATTCCCTTTTAAATAATTCTGGGTTTAAATATAGGGCAGAAGCCCCATCTCTGGGAGCCCCATCAGGCAGTTGGGCCACTTGTCCCAGTGTGCCAGTGGGAGAGAGGAGGAAAAGTAGAGAAAACAGATTTAACCAAGTGACATATTGAGAAGGGGAACCAACTTTAAGTTTATATGGGTCAGGAGGCAAGAAGTATATCTATTAAGCAGGCCTGCTCAAGTCTGGGTTATCTACTGGATGGATTGCTGTCTCAAATTTAAGTCTTCTGAGGAGGCAAAAGCAGTACTTAATGCTTGATGGAAGCAATGGAAAGATTCTCCTAATATGATGATTATTCCCACTTTAGGGCGAGGTCTTACCATCACAGATGTGTGTTTTTCTTTGATGAGTGATCTGTGTGCAGGGCTTTGCTGTATGAAGCATCCAAGGTAGCTTAAAACAATGGAGACCTTCAGGGGCCCTTTTTGGGGTCTGGAGCAAGGCAATATAAAACTGACAGTAAGAGGCTGGGAAGAGGGGTCAGTGGGAAAAGTATATGTCACAAAAGCAGGGAGACCCGAGTTCCAACCTCCAGAGGCCATGTGAAGCTGGTGCAACAGCAAGTGCTTGTGCTCTCAGTGCTTCTATAACAAGAAGTGGAAGGCAGGGACAGGTCCCCAGAAGTTTGTTGACGAGCTGGTTCCTTAGCATCCACAGTGACAAACAACAAAAAGACTCTTAGACAAGCTAAGGCAAGGATTGATACCCAAGATTATCCTCTTAATAGTCACACATGTACTGGGGCATTCGAGTTCTCATACAGATAGCAATATAACACACACACACACACACACACACACACACACACACACACACACACACACGATAAAGGCTCAGTGAATATTTGTGCCTTCAGCCTTTAGCCTGAAGGCTGAGATGAGATAGGTAGATACCACTGGTTTTTAGACACTGATTGATATCCCTATGGGCAGTGTTAGGCAGGTGTCTGACCCAAAGTAAACAGACATAGAAAATGAAGGCAGAGATGCTAGGTTTCCATTCTGCTTTTAGTTACTTTGTGGGCTCAAGCAAAAGCAGTTTCTAAGTGTTTGTTATATTTGCAACTTTATGCCTATTAAAATTCTTTTAAAATGCCCGAGTAACCTTTTATCTGTAAACTATTATTATTATTATTATTATTATTATTATTATTATTATTATTATTATACTGATTTGTTATCTGCTATACTAATGAGTTCATTCTTTTTTGTTGTCGGTTTGTTTTATTATGTTTTTCAAGATAGCATTTCTCCATGTAGCCCTGGCTGTCCTGGAACTCACTGTAGAGCAGGCTGGCCTCAAACTCAGAGATCCACCTCCCTCTACCTCCCGAGTGCTAGGATTATAGGCGTGCACCACTGCCTCCACCTGGCGCCAT